GAAATATTTAGTAGCTTGGAAAAGATGTCTGGAACGAGGTGCAGGTTTCAATGTAATGTCTAATCGTTTGTTTATAAACTGCTAAGTTGTTTGAAAGATGTGGAAGCCGTTAAGCCTATTTTAATTATAATAGTTCATTGTTGTGAACAAGTCGAAAGAAGCTAACAAACACAGGAGGATGGAATTGCAATTGTAATAAACTTAATTTTAAAGATGATCAATAGACAGAAGGAAAATTTTATTTCTTTAAAGTCTATTAAAAGGTACAAGGCTGTGATTAAATATGAAAAAGTTCAGTAAATGAGCATGGCAATAGTCTAATGTCCATACAGATCAGGCCAACTGGAAACGATACACCAGGCAATGAAACTGCAACTTTGATCATTTGATTATATAGAGATTGTGTGGTACCATGGAAATATTTTCTCAGTTCCATCGTAATCAAAAATTAAAACTGCAAATGTAGTCTGTGATTCTGGAACAAATACAAGAACATCGTTATGCTGCAATTGGTGCTGAAGAACGAAGGATCTCCAATTTTTTTTGAGCTTGTTGCGCTTAACTCCAATTTCTGCAATGCTATGTCCTGTCTTGATGAGAATACTGGGAGTCTTTACACCATTCAAGAAGTGATCAGTGAATTTTGGAATTTTCTGGTAATGATCGGTGAGAGTTAAGATGGAAAGCTGAATATGTAAACATGGGTGAAATCAAACGAAAGAAAACGAACATAAAAATAGCTCACCAGTGTGTTTGGAGTAGATGCGCTAAAAATCTGGTAAAAACAATGAATCAGCCATGCATTGACAGAAATCTGGTTTCAATGATGAAGTCACTCGATGCTGGCTAATCAGTGAGGATGTATCATCTAAGTACATTAAGTATATAATGAGTAAGAAGTAAAACAGCGCAAAGTGCTATATAAGTGAAACTGAGATATGTACTGGCCTTGTTGATGACAAGCAGTATTTTGCAAAAGACTTGGTAATGGAACTGTCCAAGGCAGGTAAACCTGTTGTTGGAGTTCACAGAAATGAAGAACATCGAAAATAAGGCCACCGGTATGTCGAAGCATCAGCATATCATGGGTTTTAACGATATTGTCACGACAATATTCATCCCATCCATTCTGAAACGAATTGTTATTAACTGTGACAGGCCAAGTTCGTATTCCATATCTGAGAACGATGACATTTTTCTGGTGATGATTAAGCAGAGATGTAAACCTGGAAGGTAAAACCTGAATTCCGCAGATTCAGAACATAAAGTCAGGCAAGCCGATTTAAGCAATCTACATATAGAGAGACTGAGAGGTACGCTTGCAAAAGGAAAAAAGGTGTACCTGTCCTCTATGGCTACATCTAAATAAAAAACAGTAGGGCCTGGAATAAGCGTTAGGTAATTCAAAATCTGCCGGAGAAGCGGGAAGGCCTTCTGCCATTAAACTAACAGAAGAAGGTTAGACAAGAGAAACAGGAGTGAGAAGGAATAGATACAAAACGAGCAAGTGAATGAATGAGTTGAAAATATAAATAGCCAAGAGTACTTGTTTGTATAGAGCTGCAGTTTTTTTTTGAGTTGTATGCTACATAAGTGTTGTACATGACACAGTTAATAAAGTAGGCATGATATATGAAGAGCCGATGTGTTGTTAGGTCAAGTATTTTATTGATATCAGTTTTAGCCTGTCATACTTGTGATAATTTATAAGGCGCAGAAATGAGCAATTCTGAAAGAGGGAAAAAGCTGAACAAGAAGAACAACTTTGAAAGAGGGAAAAAGTTGAACAAGAAGAATCGAATAAGATCTGTATATAAACCAGCATGTATTTGTTAAACACAGTGAATCATGAACAAAAGAAGCCAGTACAATTTTCAGAGGCGCATCAGTAAAGAGGATAATAAAAAGTAGATGAGGTACTTTTGCTTGAAGTGACACGAGACCATAAGAAATGCAGACAATGTAAATATTTATAGGTTTCGATGGCACATGAAGTAACTGTAGTTAGTATCAGTAGCATTAAAATAATGTATTTGCTTGCAAAAGTGAAGGTTGCATTAAATTATGGTATAATTAGGAATGAAAAAAAGTAAATTGATTGAGGAAGAATAATAACAGAGAATACGACAATTCACAGGTAGTGAAGAGGATAATCTGACATAAAGATGGAAATGGTTCAAAGGGATGTTTCATTTACATTGCAAACAAAAGAAGAAAGTGCAAGGAGACAGTTGTAATTTCTGCAATGAAGTGAGCAAAAGATAACAGTTTGGCTCATTCAGAAATAGCATCTGTTCCAGCAGAATAAAAACGAGCAGCCATGATTGACAAAAAACAAAAAAGCTAGGCTATCTGTTGAACATTGGAACGGTTATTCCAATCTTGCTTTCTTTGCTGGTCGTTATCAGTACATTCTGGCTGAATCATTGCAAGGCTGCTGAATCATCTGTCTCAGTATCATTAAATCTGTCAAGGAGGCAAAGCTTTCTTTTTGATGAAGAAGTTCCTGCATCTTGAAAGGAATCTTAAAATTTAAATCTGGGAGAATGTAAGAATTTGGAGGAAAAAAGTATAATGATAAAGAATCAAAGCATACCTTCAACAATAGTTTCAGCAGATTCAATGTTTGTGCAAGTCAGTGGAACCATACCGCTTCCTCAGTAATAAGATTCTGGTCGGTTTGGTATTGAGACTCTTCACAACAATATATAATAGTATACGCTGCTTTGCATCTGCAATTTGACTCTGAACAGGTTTTATATGCGCAACAAACCACTTTGTTTTTAGAGATTCATGGACATGATCAAGCTGCAGCTCTATGTCCTGAAAAATTGCATAAATAGAATAGGGAACAAGGTGACGCGAAGAAAATTTTAAAAAGTGCATTGATTCATCACTAATGCAATGTAGAGATAATAGAGGTACCTGGCTTTAAAATGATCCATTGCTTGAGCCGCGCTGAAGGTAGCAGCTTTTCAGCCAGTTCTCCAAATATGGAAGCTGTTACTGTGCCAGTTTCATCTGTTAAATCAACGTCAAAGCGGCATCTACATAGAAACATCAGTCATATACGCAGCGTTGCAACTCAAACAGAAAAAATAGATGCTATTGACAAAACAGACTCAGCCATATAAAAGGCTGCAGGTAAATTGAGGTAAAGGCTTGTTATTGTGTAATAAGTTACCTTGGTTGAGCTGAGTGTTTTTCTTTACATGAATTACAGAGGAAAATAAATCCATGCATTGCGATGTAGACCGAAAGCACTCACTACAAGCCATGTACCAGTATCGTTGAAAAATGTCTTCGAAAGAGAATCGAACTTTGACCCATGCTGCCTGAAAGAGTCAGGTGAGCTATTATTACATCGAGAACCATACGGATAAATAAATACATAACAAGGGAAATACATGTATTATACCTTTTGCATTCCTGTCAGATTGCAAACCTGAGTAAATTTCTGGTTTGGCTGAAACGAGAGCTCTGGATTATAGTTCTCGTATACTTTGTCGTTAACTATATCCAAAAGAAGTTTTCATTTCTCATTGCCCTGTTGCAAAAAATGACAGGTTACATGCAAACAGGGAACTAAAAATGAAACCTGAACACCGAAACTAAGAAGTATATGTTTGCGAGATTACCAATTTTTCAGTTCTCTTGCTTCTTGGACAGGTGGATCAACAAGAATGACAGAGTCAAACCATGTAGATAAAGCTACACCTAAAAGAAAATAGCATGTATGACTTAGGGAAAAAGCACTACGAGGGAAAAAATGTAACAGTTAACTGTCGACAAAGTGTTTGCAGGTAACCATTATAACAGCCAACTCTGACTCTTCTGCATACAACGACCGGAAATCTGTGCATGTTCTGTAAAATTTTCTGGCCTTCATCATCGACAAAAGCATCCCACATGGACAGTTTGACAGTTTGAAAGCTGTTTTTTAGAGAAAAGAATGAATATCATAGTGAAACTGTGAAAAGTGAATGTAAGAAATGATTATAAGCGAGAGAAACTCATACTCTTCGTTAACAAGGACAAACTTTTGCACGCTGGATTCTTTACCATCTTTGGTAATTTGTTTCCGGTCCAGCGCAGATATAACAACAGCTAAGATGTCTATATAAAAAAATATATATTGTGATCAGATTCCCTGTGAGAAAAGAAAGAACGTATATGGATATATTTTTAATCAAACAAGCTTACCCACAGATTGATCTTTAATATCCATGTATTTGATTAGGTCGGTAAACTTGGTATAGGCGAGCTTCACAGGCAAAACATCTTCATCATCACTAACCTCTTCAACAAGTGTCCTAGTGGATATAACCCACTGTGTTTGCAGACCGTTAGACTGAAATTTTGGAGGAATTGGTCTCACAACTGCATTTGTGATAAGATATTTCTTATACACTTGAGAAGAGGACTCATTTTAGGGATGTCATTATTGAAAATGATCCTTCAACCAAAGATCCCTATAAAAAATAAAATGAGGTGACAACGCTGTTCAAAGCAATAAACTTTTTTAAGGCAGTACAAAATGGAACGGGAAAGTCTTTGAAAGTCGCAGTTGATAAATTAAACATAAGCATTAAGCTTTTAAAGCTCTAGTTATTCAGTTTTGAGCATAGAATTGAGATAGTAAAATGGCTAGCTACGCACCTCTGAGTCCAAGAAAATGAATTTCTGTTTTTTTGTTGGAGTAGCAAGTGACGATGTGACATGTTGTTTTTCCTGAACTGTGACCTTACATGTCCAATTTTTTGTGCCAGGAAGAATCTCTTTCATTGGAAGAATCTGTGACATCCTGAAGTAAAAAAACAAGAATGAAGGTGAAGGAATGAAGATGAAACTGAGGGGAATAACAATAATAAATGGCAACATTTTATATAAACTGACCTTGACAGAGCATTGTTACATTGTAGCTAAATGAAACACTTCACTAAAAACAACATTTCTTGTTTTGTTATCAATTTTGATATCGTCAAAAGTTCCAGGAACAATCAAGATTTTAACTGTATCAGGAGTCTGGCTCTAGACAGTGCAACGTAAAGTTGGCCATGAGAAAACACAGGTTCGCGCAGATAAACTCCAACATAATCCAAAGTCTGTCCCTGAGACTTGTTAATCGTCATAGCGAAACATAGACGGATGGGGAACTGCGTTCTTATGAAAGGAATACCATTTTTTTCATTTTCAGGGGTTTGCAGAGGAATTCTGGGAATGAAAACTCGCTTGCCTCTGTGCTGACCAAATACAATCTCAGCACAGATGGTATGCTGGCGTAACTCTCTACATATGAGCCTTGTGCCGTTGCATAGGCCTTCAGCCGGGTTCAGATTCCTGAGAAGCATGATAGGACAGTTTACTTTGAGGAGCAGCTTATGTGGAGGAAGTCCTTTTGGATTCTGACTATTTAGAAAGTCTTCATAATCTCCCTGAAACCTCTGGTTAACAGTTTTATCTGAACTTATATAGGTATAAAGCTCCCTGAAAATTTCTCAATCATCATATCGTTAAGCTCATCAACAGAGCTATTTCTAGGAGAAAGGATGCATCTATTGATCATTTGATAAGGATCGGTTGAATAGAGATTCAGATCAGGGAAAACACAATGCATTAATCTGCATTTAATTTTCAGAAATTTGGAGTCAAAAAAAGTCTAACATAGGAGTTAAACAGCCATTCAAAGGATAACATGAATGATAGACACTGAAATCACCTGTCCAAGGACTCGTGTTTGTCATGATAGGGAATTACCAAGTCAGAAGGGAGCGTTACATCACCATTTTCATCAACAGGCTCCCGTCCTTCACCAATTCGTAACAAAAAGTCAGAAAAGCCTGGATTTAAAAGAGCTCGCATATTTCTTTAATGTCAACTTATGCATACACAACCACAACGGGGAACTAAGAAGGCTTGATTCAATTAAATCCTGTTCACAAGCATGTTCAATAACTGGTAGGGTCTGTCGAAAATCTCCACCAAAAACAACAACATGTCCACCAAAAGGGAGATCAGAATCTTTCAAGTCCTGCAGTAAACTGTTAAAAGCCTCAATCGCTTGCCTCTTAGCCATAGACGCTTCATCCCAAAGAATCAATTTAGACTCACAAATTAACTTAGCTATGCTGCTCTGTTTGCTAAGCTGACAAGTTTTATTGGTTGAGAAATCTAAAGGAATTTTAAACCGAGAGTGCGCAGTTCTTCCTCCAGGAAGAATGGATGCTGCAACACCAGAAGTAGCAACAGCGATAGCAATGTAACCTTGAGACCGCAGAGCAGACAGAAGCGACCTATATAGGAAAGTTTTCCCAGTTCCGCCAGGACCATCAATAAAAAAAACTTTACCTTCTGAAGAGAAGACTGATTGTAAAATTAAGTCAAAAGCGTATCGCTGTTCAGGATTCAACTTCGAAGGCAACAACTCATCCTCAGGATCAACCACAATGCTTCTCTCACTCTCCATTTCTCTGGTACTCCGTTCAGGCATATCAAAGGAATTAGCAACTAAGTGAAACTCACCTATACTTTCCCATTTGTACTAATGACCTATTAATGTCCTCCAAAACGCGTTTTTTAATATCACTATCAGAATAATGAGTAAACTTCTGAGCATGCACATAATCTGATGAGAGATCCTTTTCAAATCTAGTCCACAAGAGTTTAGGATCAGCAGGAGAACAGTAGAATAGAAGAGTAGCAAATAGTAACCGCAGAGATGATGGCATTTGAAAAGCTACAGCTTCTTCTAGAGTTTCTTCAATATAGTTATCAGATTCCAATAAACCCATCTTAAGAGCAGCTTCTCTAAAAGAGCTCATTAGTTCACCATTAACAGTCAAAAGATCATCAAATGACGTGGGACCACGAACATGGCATAATAAGAGCCTCAAAAAATATCGCTCACCCTCTTTTGGATTTGCTGTGACTAATCTCCCTATTACTCGCCGCGCTCCCTTTCAGACCAAGTTTTTGTTTTAGGAGTCCATACAAAATGTTCAGGGAACTCCCTATATAAACACCTTAAGTTCTGCGCTTTTGCATTTGACTTGTTTGTCTTAAAAAATTCAGTCAGCATGGTCCTAGAGAAATCAATTTTTTTCAGCAAGTAATTCAAATCTGAATTTCTGTCAAAAGAAATGGATTGCTGATCAGGAAGATGGACTTGAAGAGTATAAACGGACGGAGTCATTTCACTTAGCCGAAACTCATAGATTCGCCATAATGCTTCAGGTGGAGATATCCACCTGCCTTTCTGAAAGTTACTGATCTCGTCGACGTCACTACAAGAAGCCTGATCAATGACCTGAAAGCTGATAAGATCAGGCCCTTTAAAACATATTTGTAAAGGTATTTGACAAGCTTCACTGTGGAACAGATTTCCACATTTATATGGCAATCGATCAAAGCAAGCAGGTATCGGTTATGAGGAATAACCCATCTATTATCCAACTCATGTCGCCGAACTTTTACTTTTACCATCATTCCTCCTTCTATAACATGGATATGAATCTTCAGCATGAATGGTATGATCTGAAAAGTTTTTTGGATAATGACTTTTACAAGAACCATTTTTCATGCAAGGACAACTTTTATCCATATCTCCACAGGGACCGTGAATCATATGCTTAACTACAAGAGAGTATAAGTGCTGGTGTTCTTTTGGGTCAGGAAGTTCAGCGCAAACAATTTTATCATATGATTCAGCATTTAACAATTTGAACTCTGCTTAAGAATTAATAAGACATGAGCATGAGGAAAGCCGCGTTTCTGGAATTCGATAGCACAGACGCACGCTGCAACCTCTCCAAAAATGTGTTTATGCAGAAGTTCAGACTTAAGGACTTCAAATTTAGCTCTAAAAACTCTAGACAATAAATCTGGCCTATCCTGTGGCTTTCTGTATATCTCAGACCCCCTTGAATCTCCTTCCACATAGGATTGCATGTCATGGTCAAAAAATGTCATTTCCATATTTTTGAACCAAAGACATGGCATCCAAATATCTGCGTTTCATATCCCTCGGACCCCCAATAAAAGATGCTGGTAAAATGGTCCTTCGACCAACTCTAGAACCCTGTGTCTGACCAATAGCAATGCTATCTAGAACTCCTTGGAGCACCTCTGTGCGTATCTCATTCTGTTTTTTTCTGTGGAAGTCAAGCCTGGACGTCTCAATCTTAATGTAGGAACCCACGACAAACTGCTGAAACAATCTAAGACTGTGCAGCAACATAGACGCATCATCATCTCTGACTTGGAACTTGTAGCAATAATATTCTCTAGCAGACACAAAATAGTCTTCAGTCGAAGCCTTGTCAGCAACTAAAAAGGATAGACATATAGACATAATAAGGGAAAAATGTACAGCTGATGACTAAACGAAGTCAGAAAAAAGCAACGGGGGAAAAACCTGCCTCTTTGTTCTAACTCCAACAATTGTGATGGAGTATGTATGGAAGAAAGATCAACAGATGGGTCCACCTCAGAGAAAGTTTCATTTTTTCCCTTTTTATGAAATCGCTTAATTCCATAATGCCACCCAGATTCACCTCTAGGAAAGAGAAGAGGATACTGTAAAGAATCACAGCATCCATAATAAGGCTGGACTCTATAACTCGTGCTAGAGTGACTATAAACTTGAATGTGAGGATGCATATCAATTGAATGATTGTCAGTTTCAGTCCAAATAGCAGCAACCTGGGACGTAGTAGGAAGGTTATACACTCGCTGGTCGAGTCCAGGTTACAATTGAGAATAATTCTATGATCTCAAGGTTTGGAACATCCCTTAAGCTTTTAAAAAATCTTGCATAAGGATTATCTTGGAGGAGATTCATAAGCAGCTTCAAAGTATCCTCACGAAGCTTATCAGAGTTCTGAGCTGCCTTTTTTAATGCTTCATCAGTATCATAATAATATAATTGAATTCCACTAGCCTGATCACTGTTTGCCAGCAAAGAGTTCAAAAAGTGATAAACCTGACCCTGAACTCGAAAGGTATAGACTCCATGTTTATTCTTTGTTAATTCCCTGTCATATTTTGCAGCATATGATGTAAAAGCTACATTGTTATTATAAGTGCGAGCCTTTCTTTGAAAATCCTCACACTCCTCATCAGAACCAGTAAATAAACGCTTCAAACTGTAAGGCATGGGAGGACAGACAATCTTAACCTCGCCTCCACGACAGCAGAAAGAAGGAGGTTCCATGTGAAACCTCTTGGCACCACAATGTTCACAATCCGGAACACTAGGAAGGATAAGAGATTCCTCAGGGATTCTTTCAAGCCTAGAAAGTTTGAGCGGCCACGCCGGGAAGAGACAGCTGTAAGTCCGCAGCGAAAAGGCGTCATGCTAGAGAAACGAGACTAATTCTAATAGTTTGGAAAAGAAAGGAGCTCGTGACCATATAAATCGATGCATAAGCTGGTACGAAGCAGCAGCATCAAAAGCTAAATAACATGTTTAATTTTGTAAACAGCTACACTCGATAGATAAGAAGAAACTATGATCAGAAAAGTGGCCAAATAATAGTATTACCCCCAGACAAAGAAGGCGTAGGCAGAGCCCTCGGGCGTATAGAAGGAGACAGTTGCCTGCCAGAACGCAGCTGAGCATTATTTGTATGCTGCACAGTACCATAAAGCTCATTCTGGCAACCAGTTTGCAGATAAGGATGAAGCATTTCAGTAAATGTGTGCGTATTTCCCCCCTACAAATAGACGGCAGAACCATTTCATTGGTGGCAGACGCTGATTCCATGCGGGGGTCTGCAGCAGGAATCACCAACCGACACAGGAAGGTAGACAATAAAAAAATGCGAACCGGAAAGAATACAAAGCAGAGGTTTCAAAGAAGCAGAAACAATTGAACTTGTACCGGTAGAAGAAGAAAACAGAGGCAGACGGCAAAGACCAGTAGAGAAAGACGTTTGATTGTGAGGATCTAATGGAGTAAATGCAGAATTAAGATGGCAATCTGAGTGTTGAATAGTCCCAGTGTCGCGCCCATTAACTGCACTAACACTCAGATCACTAAGAGAGGTAGGCAAATGGGGAACCGACTCGTCATAACATCTACTATCGGCTCCCTGCGGAGCACCATGAACGACGCGAACAAGAGAGGCCTGACAATTATGCTGGCGACCCCCGCCCTGACCAAGGGGCAACCCATTTGCGCGGCTATTGCCAGGAACAGTAAGCCTCCTTTTCTTTGCAGCATTAGCATCACGGCGACGGCGCAAAAGCTCGGCCTTTTCTTGCTCTGGCATTTCGGCATAGCGTTTACGACGCCTCGAATTCCTATCCATGGTCTTAGACTGGAAGGCTAAAGAAGATAAACTAAGCCAACAACCAAAGGAAAAATGACACAACAACACCCAGAGTGCAGAACAAGCAACAGAAGAAATGGAATAGATACAATCACACAGCGACAAACACAGATTTTCTACAACAGAGGCATAAGCAGAGGGCAAACATTTTTTTTGTAGCAAAAAATTCGAGCACAGGAGGACAATAATAAAAATATGCAGAGCAGAATGAAAGAGCACAAGGAAAAACGAATATGCTTAAAGGGAGGAACAGGAGATTAAAATAGCTAAAAAACCTCAACTGGCTCAAACAAGCACTGACTGGAAGCAGACGGCTCCAAAGCCAAAAGGTCACCAGGTGAAACAGAACTGGCGCAACACACTGCCACAGCTTCCAGAAAAATAAGGAAAGGTTTAGCACGCACACATCAGCAGAAGCAACAATGAATAACATGGAGAAAGAAGATAAGAGCAAAGTAAATAGGCAAAAAAAGGCACAAACAAGCATTACAGCGAACAAACAGAGTGCAAAAAGGAGAAGGATGAAAGAAAACTGAGCAGGGAACAAGGCAAGGTCGAGAGAATGAAAACGACTTACAAACAAACGAAGAGAGCTAAAAGGCGAGGGAAAACGATTAAAAAATGGTTGTAACGAAAACAAACGAGAACATGCACAGCATCGACGAAGGCAACAGAACAAACCCGCATTTTAAAAAACCAGAGGAAGGAAAAGTAAGGAGCTAGAGCTGTGGTTGTGGAAGACAACAATGCAACAGTAGCCAGCTACAAGCAAAGGGAAAAGACCGGGAACATGCAGAGGAAATTTAAAAACAGAGAAAAGGCAGAAAATCTCTGGAAACAAAAGGAACATCACCATACACAGCATTAGTGCATCGTAAAAAAGCAAAAGCAAAAAGACTAAGAACCTGCAGCTGCGTTTATGGAAGGCGGCAATGCAACAATAACCAACTCCAGAGCTAACAGGCAGGAAACAAAAAGAATGTAAGACAAACAGAGCTGAAAGAGTACAGAAAAAAAATTTAAAAAGCAGAAGCAACGGCGAACACAGAATACACTCACCATAAGCACAGCAAACAAGCGATAGAAAAAAGCAGCGAACAGAAGACAGAGCAATCAAAAGCAAGCTAAATGGAAG